GAAAGTATTCTCAGAAACATTTTTCATAGTGTGTGTGTGTGTGTTTGGGTTTTGTATGTGAGCATTAAGGCCTATAGTTTAAGTTACCTGTCCCTGCACTGAGAAATACTACTCTGAACTCTATGGTAGCTAATCTTTCTCTCTGATTTTTTAGTTGAAAAGATTTGGTTTAATGATTGTTTAAACTTGGGCAGTCATACATAAGATTAAGTAAGTGTTTGATATGCTAGGATAACATAAATGAAGTATCAACTGCTCAGAGACCCTATACCTCCCAGAATCCAGCCCTCCACTGTGTAGGAAGGTTAAACACATTTTTAGTTGGAGCATTCATGGGAGATATGTGCCTTTGATTTTTTTTTTTTTTTTTTTTTCAAGTAGAAGAGACAGTTTGTGGGCTTTTTTCTAAAAAACTGATTTTTTTTTTTTTTTAAACACATAGCAGGAAAAAAAATGTTATTTAAAAAATTTAGCTCTGGATTTCTAGTTCTAGGCAGGATGGAGTAAGCACATTTCTTCTCATCTCTCTTACTGAATGCAACTATAAAACCTAGGCAGAGTGTATTTGAGGACTCTGATAAAGGAATTAATGCCAAGTAGTTTGAGAAAGACCAGAATTCAGAGTACTACTGAACCAGCATTGAGATTACCATTTTCCTCTTTTAGTACTTCTGCCATTCAGCCCAGAGGCAGGTGCAGCTGTGGAAGATAGTATGTTGGCTGGAGAGCAACAAAAAAGAAAGCCACAGGAAATTTTAAAATATTGAGGAGATCTCAGAGGAAGAGGAGCTTGGGAAAGCAACTCTATATAGTTATCTGTGAACTCATCCCTGATCTGTGTCTGTGTGGATCTGATCCTACTTAGTATTTAAATGACTTTGAGAACTGAGCTAACAAATAGATCGCCACCCAGGTTCCAAACTGGTCATCATGTGGTGCATGCAGGGCACACATCCAAATAGAAAGGCTTTGAAAATTAAAACAAGATTGTTAACATTCACTAGAAGATTTCAATAAGACCCAGAGTCTAAAATATTTAAAATGTTCATGGCACAATCTAAAATTACTCAGCACATGAAAACCCAGGAAAATCTCAACTAGCATGGGAAGAGACAACAGATGCCAATGCTGGAGTGATATAGATGTGATTATCTGATGAAGACTTTAAAGCAGCAATTACACAAATGTTGAAACAAGCTGCCTCAAAAATCTTGTGAAACAAATGGGAAAATGAAATTTCTGGCAAAGAAATAGATGATCTAAAGAACTAGTGCAATAACCAGAATGAAAAACTCACTGGATGGCCTCAATAGCAGAATGGAGATGACAGAGGAAAGAATCAGTGAAATTGAAGATAAATCACTAGAAATTATACAGTCTAAGTAACAGATAAAAAAAATTGAGAAAAAAATTAAACAAGATTTCAGGGATCTGTCAAACAAGAACAAAAGCTCTAACATTCATGTCATTGGAATCCCAGCAGAAGAGAAAAAATGTGCTGAAAATAAAGTGAATGAAAAATTTCCAAATTTGGCAAAAGATATAAACCTACAGATACAGGAAGTCTAGTAAACTCAAGCAGGATAAACTTAAAGAAAACCACATCCAGGGAGATCATAATCAGACTTCTGAAAACTAAAAACAAAAAAGCAGCCAGAGAAGAACAACTATAGGGTGGTGATTATGCAAATGACTGTGGATTTCGCCCCAGAAACTATGGAGGCTGTAAGTGGCACAGCATTTTTAAAGAGCTAAAAGAAAAAAAACTGAACCCAGAATTCTGTATGCAGCATAAAATAGCCTTGATAAATGAAAGGAAATCAAAGGCATTCTCGAGTGAACGGAAAGTTAGAAAATTCATAGCCAGCAAATTTATTCTAAAAACAATAGCTAAATGAAGTTTTTTGGACAGAGGGAAATAGTACCAAAAGGAATGTATTAGAACATCAGAAATGAAGGAATAATAATAGAAATAGTAGATAAATAGAAATGTAAATAGAATACATTATTCTCTTCTTGTTTATAAGTAATATGTCTATGTCTCTTTAAAGCAGTTCTTTAAAATATATTTAATGTTGGAAAACAAAAATAACATTGTGATGGAGTTTTCCATTTATGCAGATGTAATATTTAAGATTACAATAATTTAGGGAGGGGTTAAAGGGACTCACATGATGGTAAGTTTTTTACATTCCAATTAGACTCTAATTAGACTCTGAAAAAGATATTTAGATTGTAATCTCTAGAGCAATCACTTCAGTAACTATACAAAGATATAGTAAATGTAATAAATTAAACCAAAAGGCTAGAAAACATTTAAATAATGCAGAAGAAGGCAGGAGTGAGGGAAAAGAGCAATGAAAAATGGAGAGAACAAACCGAAAATGGTACTTGGAATCTAGACATGCCTTTTTGAGGCTGCTCAACCTTGGTAAACAATATCAAGAGGGATGCAATTGACAGATTTTGAGGCAAGGAAATAAGTGGCAGGAGATCAGATAGAGAATGACCTTTCAGGCTGTGGAGAGACTTATTAGTGTCACATTAGGCTTTGTGGTAACAAACCAGGCAGGAAAGACTAATGATTGGCATCAGAGGTCTGGTATCGGTGGGGTGGGGAGCAGTCCTAAAGCATGGCTGAGTTATCAGGCCAAGTACTCAGGCCCAGGAGAACATAAAAGCTGCCTAAGTCCTGGAGTTGTGGTACAAGGTGGAAATTTGGTCAGAGGAATAGAGTTAGAATCACCTGAGCTACTACTTAGGAATTTCTTACATTTCTCCAAAGTAAAGACCAGGCTGTTCTTAATGTGTGGAGCAAGGCTGGGATGAGAGGTAGGCTCTAATACCAGAAAGTGGTTAAGAAAAGTGGGCAGTGGGAACAATAGGAGTTACAGCATCTTTCAGGGAATTTTTCAGACATGAGCATATTTTCAGGTGCTAAATTTAAAAAAATGAATTTTGTTTATAAGTAACATGTCTATGTCTAAGTCAGAGCAGCTCCAGCCTCACCTGTCTTCACCCCTAGTCCCACTTGCAGAGGCTATTAGTTTGAACTCTTTTTGCTTGCTCTTTTGGTATTAACCTTTATATTTCTAAATCACATCCTTATAATGCTATTTTTTAATTTATTTTTTTCAATATTGAACATAATCTAGAGGCTTCACTCTGGGGAAAATTAACATTTTCTTATATTCCTATCTCAAGATGCTTATCTTTTCCCAAATAGTTGGTGTTTTAAATCAATTGACAATTAAAAATTTTAACTATATAAATTTATTTGGCAGTTTTGACTTTATGTACCATGATTGTTTTTATTTCCCGTAAAATATTTAGTATTTCCTGGAGTTAATTAACTAATTAATTAATTAGTTAATTAATTGGCACAGTGACCTCTATAATGTATGAAAGAATTATAAAACTTATATAAAACTTATCAGATTGTATTTTTTTTCACCTTGGAGACAGTCTTCCAACTTCGTGTTGTAAACCTGCTACATAGCTGCCTTAGAAATATCCTTTATCTCTCTAATGTAAAATAACTGTTGCCTGAATCTTCATTTGTTTTTGAGGCATGATCTTTTGGTAACTTCTGAGGAGGGCAGCATGGGAGGTAAAATATTTTGAGAGCCTTACATACCTGAAATTTGTTCTTTTTTCCCCTCTCCTCACATTCGATTCATAGTTAGCTAAGTATAGAACTTTCAGTTGGAAGTCTTTCTCCTTCATAATTGTGAAGGCATTGCTCCACTGTTTTCTAGTTTTCAGAATTGCATCTGAGAAGTCTGATGCCATTCTGATCTCTGTGCTACCATATTGCAAACTCTTTTCCTTTTCTAGAACTTTTAGAATCTTTTTTGGTGTTCTGAAATTTCAAGATGAAGTGCTGTGAAGTAGTTATTTTAACAGTCATCATTATTCTGAGCCCTTGATAGGTTCTTTGAATGTGAAACTCACGTCCTTAAGTTATGAGAAATCTTATTTTTCTTCTTTGAAATTTTCTATCTTGTTTTTTTTTCCCATTCCATTCAGGAGATTGTATTTTTTGTTGTTCTTGGACCACTCAGAATAATCCCCTCATTTCTTTCTTTTTTTTTCCCCCACTCTGTTTTCCTCTTTGACTTTTTGTTCGTTTTCTTAGAAAATTTCTTTAATTCTGACTTCCCATCCTGCTTTTGAAGATTTTTCCATTAAGTTATGCTGCCATATTTTCATTTTCCGAGATAATTTTATTTTCGGAATGTTTGAATATTCCTTATCTTCTTCTATTTCTCTAATAACTACTTTTTTTCCTGCTCCCTGCATGATTTTTTCAGAGTTCATTCTTTTCTGTTTGTTTTTCATGTTAAAGATTTCCTCACATATATGATGATCCTTGGCCAGCTTCTTATATTTAAGAGTGAGGTACTAAAACCCGAGTGAAGCTGACTGAGAGGAAGTCTTGTTAACTAGTGGGAAGCTAGACATTTCATTGGGGGACCCACAAGTGTTAGTATCTGTGGGTCTTTGGGGCCAGTTCTTTCAAAGAAATCCCATCATCTCCTGGCTAGATATATAAGACTGTGTTCTGACACTGAAGGGAAAAGCTGTTTTTCTAAATTGAGAAGGGCAGTCTATGAGAGGGACTCTCATTGTTCCCAGGAAGAATTTCAATCAGTCCCACTGCTTTTAGCAATATGCCTCATTTTCACTTACATTTGGGCCTTTCTGGTTCAGCATGTCCAAATAGTAAACATTCAGGCTTCTCCCTGGAGAGAAGCACCCAGCATATGAGGGACCATCTGGGATGTGCGTGCTACTACAGGCATGTGTGCTACCCAGTACAGCTGCGATCTAAATCGACAGCTTTTAGAAACATAAAATTTATAATCTCTATAAATATACAGATTTAATGGCTCTCTTTGAAAAACAAAACTGCCTAGGAAGATAATTCTGTGTAAGATAATTCTCTGTACTTACTGTTTCTGGGCTTCACATTTTCAACGTGGTTTCTTCTCTTTCAGAGCAAATTGGAGCTTTGGCAGATCAGAACATTGTCCATGTGGCATGTGGTGAGTCCCACAGTCTGGCCCTCAGTGACCGGGGCCAGCTGTTTTCTTGGGGTGCAGGGAGTGATGGTCAGCTAGGACTCATGACTACCGAGGATTCAGTGGCAGTGCCCAGGTAAGAGTGTCACAGAAAGGAATCTGTGTTTTCAAATGTCAGTATTATTTCCTGCTGTTGCTTTGTTAGACTCCTTGTTTTTGTTTTTGCTTTCATTTAGTTGCTACTCCTTTGTGCCACTGCTTTGCTTATACTGTTCCAGAACTTGTCGCAAATATTGTAATTATTTTGTAGAAATACATATTTCAAAAAATGTGAGTAGTTTATGAATTTTATTATAGTAGCCTAATTGCTATCAAAGTACTTGGAACTTGATAAATGTTTGAATAAAAAAAGCATCTTTTCACATGCTGGACTTAATACACTTTAACTTAAAATCACAAGCCTAAATCAATTATTCAATTAAGCACTTTAAACTAGAATCACAAGGCTGACTTGTTATTCTGATAATAGGCTAAACTACCTCAAGTATTATAAACAGCTAAAATACCAAATTATGAGAGTTCTTTAACAGAAAATACTAATACGATGGTTTTGGGTCTCTTGAATATTTACTTAATTCTAAACCTTAGATGATTTAACTAAATATTGAACAGATGTTTCACCACTAAGAAAGACTCGAAAATATCGAAGTTAATTTCAAGTGGACTTTCTAGTGGTGGCATCTCCATTTGTTGAGGGTTCTTAATGATCAAGCAGTTTATTTCCTCCATTTAATTCCTGTTCTATTATACTACAGATGTACAACATACCCTATTGTAGTACTTGTCACATTCTTTGTAATTATTTACTTAATGACTATTTTCAGTACAAAGTTGGGAGATCTAGATGGCAGGAGACCTGGACTGTTCACTATAGCATCACCATTTCTAAGGGAGCCCAGCACATACATTGCTCAGTACAAGTCCGTTTAATAAGTGGCCTTTCCTCCCCTGCCCAATTATCGCCCCCTTTAAAGGACAATATATTCTTCTTCCTCTTCCATTTTGCCCTCCTGAGATTTTTGTCTCTTTAATCAAAAGCTGTTTTAAGAAAGAGGAATATGAAGGTAAGAGTGATTTGATTTACTTCCTGATTTAGAACAGGTAATGTCTTGGCTTCATTACTTTCAAAAATTAATTTTATTTTTGGGAGAAGAGGGAGAGTGGCAATAAGAAAAAAGAGGTACTATATTTTAATGAAATTGTGGAAAAGATTTATAACACTAATGACAAAAGTATTTCATTTGTCGATGCCAAAGACTCAAGGATTTTTAGTGGCCTTTTGATTCTACAAATGAAGTAATCCATGCTATAGTAGCAATTTAATTTTCATTAGTCCTGTCGAAATTATGGATGACTTCTGAGACTTTGGTTTGTGTATAACTTTATATTATAACTTAAGTGAAATAAATTCATTAATTTATATCTTAGTATTGTGGAAAGTAACATAGCTTTGAAGTCAGACAGCTTCATATTCCATTACTGCTTGTGTTAGTATTAGGTTAGTGACCTTGGGCAAATTGGCTTTTCCAAGTTTCTGTTTCCTGACTTAAAAATGGAGTTCTGTATTGTGTACCTACCTTTACAAAGTTATCGGGAAGCTAGATGAGATGAGTAGTAAAGCACAGTATATGCTTACACTATGTGTATCCCCCGCTCTTAACCTCCAGGATATAACTTTCCTATTACTTATTTTTGTCCTTTTGACCTGCTTTCTTTCTGTAACTGTGATTGTGAAGGCCGTGACACAAGGGTAATGGTGACCCATAAAGGGAGAATTGTGGGGAATTTGAGTGGAAACTGGCCTGGAAAAAGGGCTGTTGCTGCATAAAACTTCTGAAACATTGGTCCCCTAGGCAGTAACGCATTTTCCAGTTTTTAAAAATAGTGGCGTTCTACCAGCTATTGACACACACAACAACTTGAATGAATGTCCAGGAAATTATTCCGAGTGGGGAAAAAAGCCAATCACAAAAGGTTACCTGCTGTACGATTCCATTTATATAGCATTCTCGAAATGACAGAATGTTAGAGCTGGAGGATAGGTTAGTGGTTGTCAGCACCTAGGGACGGAGTAGGAGATGAGTGGTTGTAAAAGTACAACATGAGGAATCCTTGTGGTATTGGAATTGTTCAGTATCTTGACTACGATGGTGGGTACATGAACCTACACAGGCAATAAAATTAATATATACTCAGAAATGAGTACAAGTACACCTGGGGAAATATGAATAAGATTGGTGGATTGTATTAATGTCAGTATCCTGGTTATGGTATTATATCCTACAGTTTTGCAAAATATTACCACTGGGGGAAACTGGACAAATGCACAAGAGATCTCTCTGTATTATATTTTACAACTGCATGTGAATCTACAATTATCTCAGTGAAAAATAGTTGGGAACTATTTGGTACTAAATGCATATGTGAACTCTATTTTAACTTTTTTATGTCTCAGAAAATAAAACATTAACAAAGGCAATATCCACCATTCTAAATAATCCCCCTCCCCCGTCCCATCTCCTAAAATACCCCTCTCCCAAGGGCATGTCCATCTGACTCCTTCATTCCCTTGTCATACACTTAATGAAGAGGAATATGACAACTTGTAAAGCATTAGAATAGAGAACAGGAGATCTTCTCAGGCTGCCCAGTGCCAAGCACTCCACATGGATATTTTTTCATTTAATTTTCGCCACAACCCGGGGAAACAGATACTGTTTTCATCTCTGTCTTTCACATGAGCAAGCAGAGGAGATCAATCATATGATCTTCCTCTTTACCATCCTAGGAAATCAGGGTTTGAGGTATTGCTCTTATATTTTTTTAATTGTGGTAAAATACATATAACATAAAATTTACCATCTTCACCATTTTTGAGTGTGCAGTTCAATAGTATTAAGTATATTTACAATATTGTGTAACACAAGGGTCCCCAACCCTGGGCCGTAGACCAGGGTCTGTAACCTGTTAGGAACCGAGTTGCACAGCAAGAAGTGAGCAGTGGGCAAGCAAGTAAAGCTTCATCTGTATTTGCAGCCACTCCCCAGCACTACCATCACCAACTCAGCTCCGCCTCAGATCATCTGGCATTAGATTCTCATAGGAGCACTGGTCCCTGGTTCCAAAAAGATTGGGGACCACTGGCATAACCAATCTTCAGAACTTTTTCATCTTGCAAAAATTGGAAATTAACAGAGGATATGGTAATGGGTTTAAGTGCAGAAGAATGTTTTGTTTTGTTTTTTAAACAATACCTAAAAGGCAGAAGGTTAGTGAAAGACCTAATAGAATTATATCATGTGAGATTATATATTTGATTTTTAAGTCTTTTAGGAAACATGTTGTTTTTTATTACAACTGTTTTATTTAGTCTGGAACATTTCTGATCATTGTTTATGCCCTTAAGAATAAAGCCTTTTCTGTTTTAGGTTAATACAAAAGCTGAACCAGCAGACAATATTACAAGTTTCCTGTGGCAACTGGCATTGCTTGGCTCTTGCAGCTGGTAAAGTAACATTGAAATATATGCTAATGTTATGTTAATTTTGCAGCCAATTCTTTTCGAATTTTTCTGTGATGTTATCAAACTGGAAACCTTTAACTGGTTAGGGTCTATGCATTCCTGTTGGACAGTGGCAGTTCTCAGGAAGCCTTCGTGTAGCTCATACTTTTGTCGGGGTGCGGGCGATGATGAAGGTGGTCACCCCTGCTACTCCTGCTCTCTTGCAGGGGAAGAAAAGCATCAGGCGAGACTGTACCTAAGTGTTCTTGAGCATACAGAAGATTGGTTTTTCTTAGCCACAGCTCACTACCAAGCTCCGTTCCACTATCAAGCTCCCAAATAAATGAAAAAGGAGTTAGAGAAACCTAAGCCAGCAAGTAATAGTGTATTCTGTGTTAGAATAAATTTGAGGGAAATCTGCACTAACATGTCTAGTTCATAGCTGGACTTCATGTAGTCCTAGGTCTCATGGTCTTGGGGTGGTCAGAACTAGTTTAGCTTGCTTAGTAGATCTAAGCCTGGTAATTGGCCTATTCAGAAATGAATTGACTTAAATATTTAATTTGTTTTTGCATGAATGTCAATAGCCTTCGAAGAGTAGTAAGACTCAGCTTATCTTTCTGTTGTTACGACAAGGGGAGTTTTGGTTATGACAGTCTTACAGCATGAAGTGTCCTTGCTCTCTTGCTCTCGGGTGGGTCTGGTGAATGTGTGGGGGCAACTAACAAATGACCCTACTGGGCAACTATTGTTCTAAGGAGATTATTTTTGTGGATGGAACTTGTATTATTTCTGCTAACACCAGTTATCCTGTTATTGTTTCAGATGGCCAGTTCTTCACCTGGGGAAAGAATAGTCATGGGCAGCTGGGCCTGGGGAAGGAGTTCCCCTCCCAAGCCAGCCCACAGAGGGTGAGGTCCCTGGAGGGGATCCCGCTGGCTCAGGTGGCTGCAGGAGGAGCCCACAGCTTTGCCCTGTCTCTCTCAGGAGCTGTTTTTGCCTGGGGGATGAATAATGCAGGGCAGCTAGGGCTCAGTGATGAAGAAGGTATGTAAACTCTTCATATGCACCTCTTCGGTTCAAAGGCACATTTATTTAACACATGCTCTTGAGGATCTCCTATTTTCTTAGATACTAAGGTTGCAGCAGTGAACAAAACAGATAACACTTAGGCTTAGTGCAGATTGCGTGTAGTGGGTGGAAGCAAACAACGAACCATTAAATATATGTATTATGTCAGAGGGTTTGAGAGGAAGGTTTCCTGTTTTATATAAGGTGGCCTAGGAGGGCATCTTTTATAAGAGGATGTTTGAGCAGAGCCCTGTAGTAAGTCAGGTAGTAAATGAGACATAGCTATCTGGGCGAAGAATGTTCCAGTCAAAGGGCACAGGCCTAGCAAAGGCTCTGATGCGGAAAGATACATGGTGTGCTCAAAAGAGTTAGCAGAGCTGGAGGTCAGAGAGGCAGTGTAGGGCCCGGTAGGGCGGGGTAAGGATTTTGGCTTCTTCTCTCAGTGAAAGGGGAAGACATGAGGGTTTTGAGGAAAGGACTGATTTAACTTGAGTTTGGCTATATTGAGTCCAGGGGAAAGCTGGAAGACCAGTTTGGAGGTAATGGGAATGAATCGAATTTTGTATGTATTTTGAAGATGACGCCAATTGGTTTTGCTCATTGTTTGATGCATGGTTTAAAAAAGAAGAAAAACTGGAAGGATAAAGATGCCATTTGTGAAAAAAGAAAAATGTGTGTGCGTGTGTGTATGTCTGTTGTGTGTGTATGTGGTTGGGGTTGGTGAGAAGAATTGGGAAGTATGAGGAAACCATGAGTTAGTTTTTAGATATATTAAAAATGACATCCAAGTGGAGGCACAGGCAGGAAGCTGAATATATGAGTCAGGAATCCAGGGGATACCCAAAATTAATGCTAAGATAGCTATGTATATTTCATCTCAAGGGCAAACAGTAGTGACATTCCGATATTTATCTTATTCTAGATCGTGAGTCTCCTTGTCATGTGAAACTCTTACGAACACAAAAGGTTGTCTATATTAGTTGTGGAGAAGAACACACAGCAGTCCTCACAAAAGTAAGGGATTCTGGAGTATTCTGGTTTGTTCTGTGATGCTTTGGTGCTGGGTATGACATGGGTGATTATCATTACATAATTATTTTTGATGGTGCTTTTTAGAAAGAGTAATGATGGTGTTTAAAAAATAATTCAATATAAATAACCTTAAAATGTAGTATATGTAGCAACATTGTGTTCATTTAAAAAAGCCATTTAACTATGTAAAAAACCGCAATGTAATTAATGTTTTAAAACGATGAACTTATTTCTTTTGCTTCTAAAACAGTCACATCTAGAGAGAATGAAAATGTATTGTCATGTCAAACAAATACTATTACAGATTCACTTTAATGCATTAGTATTTGTTCAAGTACAGCTCTTAAAAATATATCTTACTTAACAGAAAGTTTGTGGAACATTTAATATCCTTTATGTGAATGATAATGCAGTCATCTCATTTCACCTATCTCTTTGTTTCTCTCTTTTTTTTTTTTTTTTCCTTTATGTGAATGATAATGCAAAGTCATCTCATTTCACCTATCTCTTTGTTTCTCTTTTTGTGTGTGTGTGTGTGTGGCTATTTTGCTCCCTGACAGATCACTATACTTTTAAACAATTTTCAGAATTTATAGATGTCACACATTCCCTTGAGCAGTGCTGTCTTTGTTCCATAAAGATGTAGTCTTAAGTTTCTTTTTTATTATTTTTCTATTTAATGAATGTTCCAAAGAAGTGATCTTGGCCAAGTATCAAGTGAGCATAGTGTTCCTGTACAGACCATTGTGATATGGATTTTGTATACAGAAGGTTTAGAGGAGTGTACTCAAACTCAGTGATACAGTGCAGTCATGTGGTGTTTGTTTCTTATTAGAGTGGAGGTGTTTTTACCTTTGGTGCTGGTTCCTGTGGGCAACTTGGACATGATTCCATGAATGATGAGGTTAATCCAAGAAGAGTTCTAGAGCTGATGGGCAGTGAAGTAACTCAGATTGCTTGTGGCAGGTGAGTGCCCCTAAGAGCTTCCTAGTATCTATCAAGACCCAGAAATAGGGCTTGTCTTTGTAGTGATGGAGAATGTTATTAGATGTAACCATCATCATTTTAAGAAGTCTTAACTGCATGCATAACTATGGTGAAGGTTTAGAGAGAGATCCGAGCAGTTTGAGGCAAGGAAAGGTTTTAGATAAGCAAAGCAACATGAGGACATTAGGCTTCTTTTGGGATAAAGAGGAGCAGGATATGGGGAAGACATGTGAAGAAAGGACGTGAGAGAACCTCAAAGAACTCTTGGAAATTTTGCCTGGTCCAGCCTGCTTCTTCCTCCTCATCCTAAAGGCCAAATGCAGCAGGCCATCCAGCTCTTTTTTAAGTCTTACCATCCTCCCCAAGACCTAGAGCATCAGAGAAGGATAGTATTATAAAGAGCCAGCCATTGCAAAAAAGAGTCACATATTAACATGGGGAGGCTTTCTGAGGGCACACCTAGGAATTGCTGTGCTCACATGTGGACATTAAAAGTCTATCCATAATCAGTAATTATTTTCAATTTAATTATTTTTCCCCAGACAACACACACTAGCCTTCGTGCCTTCTTCTGGACTCATCTATGCATTTGGTTGTGGAGCAAGAGGTCAATTAGGAACTGGACACACTTGTAACGTTAAGTGCCCATCTCCTGTGAAGGGTTACTGGGCCGCCCATAATGGCCAGCTTTCAGCCAGAGCTGGTAAGAGTGATGTTCATTGGAATTTAATGATATTTTAAATGGTTAAAACAATTGTTTAGAGAACACGTTTTTATTTTTTTACCTTGAGATCTTTTACCTTGAGAAGGAATGAATAAGAGGTATTTTCTTTTAACATTAATCAATAAATATTTGAGTACTAACTATCGCATGAGACTCTATAGTTGAGACCTTAGAGAATAAATAAAGCAGAAAATGTTGTTTTGGCCCTAAGGATCCTGGTGGTGGTATGTAAGTTTTAATTATTGTTGCTAAGAATGAAAGTTAATGTTTATTGACTACTTAACCAAGTTCTATTACTGTGCTAAGCACTCAAAATAACTCTTAAGAAGTAATGGTTTTTATCCTTATTCTGGAGATGAGGAAACTGAGTCCTAAGGAAGTTAAGTAACTTGCCTAAGATCTCACAGATTCTAGGGGCAGGATTTAAACCCAGGTTTGCCTCAATATAAAGCCTGTGCTCTTAATGCTTGTACTGTGTTACTTCCCTTGCTATTATTGCTATTTTGGTCATAACATTTTTTTCTTCTCTTGAAAAATAGTTAAATAGCACAATTCCATTTCATTGGAAATCTAAATAAGGCAGTCACCCACTGTGAATGACCTGAAATAATAAATCTAGACACCAAAATGTAGCTGGAAAGCCATTAAAAAGAAGCATGATTTGATAATTAATTTAGATTTTGACACACTTGTGGCTTGATCAAGATTTCTTTTTTAATAATAACAGTCATAAGTTCCTTACTGAATTATAAGAAACTTTAGGCACAAACTTCTCAATAAATATTTGTGGAATGAATATATGAGCATCTAATAATGTAGTGGAACTTATAAAATGAACAACAATTTCATTTTGGTCACGTTCCGAAGTAGAAGAATGGCTTTGTGTCTTCTGTCATTTGTAAACTTCTTTTTCTCCAAGGCATTATACTCATGATAGGAATGAATATGTTTAAGAAGCATACCAGTTTTAAACACTGAAATTTTTTATAGGTCAATTTGAAACCACCAATTTTTGAAGTTTCATTATAACCTAACTTATTGACCATAACTTTGTGCTAGGATGTTTGCCAAAATGATTTTATAAGTAGGTAAATTTCAATTTATTATGTAAATACTGTGGTTTTAGGAACCTTCATAGTAATATGGGAGCACAGAGGAAGGCATCAAGGAGTATTCCAGTTAGAGGAAGTTTGAGCTGTGTCTTAAAGGATGATTTGGAGTTAGCCAGGTAGAGGACTGTGGGGGAGTGGGCAGTGGTGAGTACCAGAATTGCAATTCCAGGAGCTCTGTTCAGATTATGCTCTAGAAGGCACCATTCAGTGTACGCTGGGGGTGGTAGAAGGAAAAGGCACAGAAATGTGAAATAGTGTGGTATAATAGAAATAAAAGCAATGTAATGATATTAGAGTGTCACCGTGGACACAGTGTGATGGGAAATGAAGCAGGGAGTAGTAAACGGAGGTCCTTATATGATATGGCAAGCTTCATCCCAAAGGGGCTAGGGAGCACCACACTCACATGTTGACTTTCATATTAGGCATATGTTATCAGTTATGGTAGTGACCGTTTTATATTTCAGGTCAGTGGCATGACAGAGTTAGAATGAAGAATAGAAATGAAGTCGAGGTTATCTGGTGTTTGGGGAAGGGGCAGAGGAAGGGTTAGAGTGGAAGATACCATTTGATATATTTATTTTTAATTGAAGTAGAAACAGTCCTGGGAAGAGAGCCAGGAGAGGTTTCTTCTCTGACATAATTAAAATTTATAGGAAACCATCTGAAGCATATTTCAGAATATTAGAAAAGGAGATCAAGGAAAAACTTTAATTATTGAAAAGTATGCTGTTGAAAATTTTTTTGACAGATCGCTTTAAATATCATATTGTTAAGCAGATCTTCTCTGGAGGAGACCAAACTTTTGTACTTTGCTCCAAATATGAGGTAAAATTTTCTTTTGACTATTATTTTGGGGGTGGAATGATGGTGAACCAATATTTATTCTAACAAATAATTATCTGGAAAAATTAATAATTACATGAGAGCAGTGTTACTCTTTGTTTCTACCAATTTTGTCTTTGCTTTCTACCAAATAAGCAAACTAAACCCTGAAGACATTATCTCTATTTTGCTCCCTTGAAGTGCCAATATTTTTTCTGGTATTTTAATTATAGAGTTCTAATTTATAATCTAAAATTATTTATTTATATTTACATTCATTTACAAAAGAGATTTAAGGAGTCCTAGAGAGTCCATGCTTACTTTGGCATTATTCGACTTTCCATTTCTTTTCCTTTCCCATGAAGTAGCAACAGATGCTTGGTGTTCGTGAACTTAGTGGGTTTCTTTGATGTGATTGAATATATGCTAAATATAAAAGAGATACCCCAATATGCAGATATCCTTTCTTATTTATAATCCGTTCATAGCACCACACTAAAATTTCCCTTGTGTTGTCTCCTGCATCACTGTAGTGGTAAGTCAGGAAGAATGACGTTCCAGTATTTTTCCTGGTTGAAAGGTACAAGAGAATGTGGTCCAGGTAGCTGCGACAGTGATTTAGTTCATTGCTCTCTTCCTGGACAAGAGAAATTGGACCAAAATCAGCACCGCAGATTTGTTTTGCGGCCTCCACCCTCTCCCCTGTTCTTACGCTTTTCTCCTCATCTTTCCCTCACCCGCCCTTCTTCTATTTAACAAACATTTAGGGAGGACTATCCATATGTGATTCATTATTCCTTATCCTGTCCTGGAGGAGCAAGAAAGGGGTGTTGGTGATGATAAAGGATTCGGAATTGGTTGGGAAGAAGATGAGGATCTGTGGAGACAAGGGCTCTTTCAGTCCTGGAGACTCTCCTCATTAGTCTGATACTTTGCCATCTTTAGATATGCAATGTTCTTACGTTCTAGTCCGTGTAATTCTATGCTTTTGGTAGACAGGATTGTGATGGAGCCCGAGGCTGCAGGTTGGACCAGCGGAAACTGACAATTAGATATTTTCCAGGTCAGCAGCTTGGAGAAGGTTTTGTTTAGTGCTACCATCTGGGGTGGCTTGGAACTCTGGCTTTAGATCTATTTTAAGCCCAGCTTTAGTGCTTCACCGAGAAATCTTGAGGAAAGCCGAGATTATTCCACGTTTCTTTAAGATGTTAATAAAGCAAAGTATGAAAAGCACTGAATCTCTGCAGGTTAGTAACTTTTTGCCCACAAGTTGTAGTGTTTGAAGTATTCATTTTCCTAAGAAACTGACTTGAATAATATTATCCAACTTTCATTTTCCTGGGCAGTTCAACATAAAACTTAGTTTCCTTTCTTTTACAAATATGTTATCTGACATATGAATTTTAAACTTAATTAATTAACATTGTTGGAACTGGCAAAACATGGATGAAAAGGAAATGCAGTAGTGTAGTGTTAGTGAAACAGGGCAAGTTAAAGTTTAAGAACTTAAGAGTGGTATGCATTAAAAATGTAAGAACAGAAAAAAGAAATTAAAAAAGAATAATACTTAGGAAGGTGTTGCTCTTTTTTTAAAACTGAAACCTATATACTTTTATACTTGAACTGTTAACCATAGATCTTTGCTTAGAGACAGAGACTGATCAAATTGTGTTTACCCTGTTACCATATTACTTGAAGAATCAAAGAACCAAGAAAAAGCATCTGTATAGCAACAGGCCCCAGTTTTGTAAAATACTGACTCATTTATTAATGCCAGGTCTGAGGTGGAAGAAGCGAGGGGAGGAGTCATGTTCAGATACTCCTTTGCTACATTTGATTCTAGGTTTGGCAATTTAGTGAGGGTACACCATAGCCTCTCTTTTTCCTTTCATCTTATTCCCTGGATAGGCTAGAAGAAGAAAAATGTAGTTGGCATTGTATGTGAGAGTGTGGGCGTGTATGTGTGTATCTGTCTCAAAGCCTATTAGGTGACATAATTCTCTTTTTCCTAGGACAATTATTCTCAACCTTGATTGCCTATTGAGATCACCTGGGAGCCTTGAAAAAACACTGATGCCTCTAGAGATTCTGATTTAATTGGTCTAGAGTGTGACTTGGCCACCAGGATTTGTGAAACCTCTGGTGATCTAAAGTGTAGCCAAAGTTGAGAAACACTGTCCTAGACCATTTTTCCCTTTTTGGCCTGTATGAAATTAGAAGGCATGGAAAACTGATGCTTTTTCTTAGGTCTTTAGGTGCTTCTGAAATTATATTCCAAGGCATCTGTGGTTTATTGGACATACAGTAAAATATGAGAAAATAGTTCCATGACTGTATTTTATTACAAGTATGTGTTAGAGTTTATGTTCAGCTGCTTCTTGAATGGAGAAAGTAATTAAAATTCCCGTAACAACAACGGTTCAGGGTGGAGAGACAGTCTTGTATGTGTGTGCTAAAGTGTCTACTTTGTCCTACAATTTTTTCTCTGTATAATTCAAGATGACTTTTACTTCCTCCATAGACGTCCGTGATCATTTTAGTAAAATAATTATCAACCAGATGATCGAAAACTTTGGCAAGCATCTCTGATTTGTTATGTGCCCTCCTCCTTTCCCCTTATAATGATATCCTAACTCGTAGCTACAGGAAAAACCAAGAAAATTTACTTTGAAAGTTGTGTTTTTATGTGTATGTGCAAAGGAGAGATGCACCTACATTGAAGTGATGGATGAATGCTTTAATACTTTTTTCCTTTTTTCTAGTAACAAGTATAAGAAGTATAAAGCACTTTCAGCTTTTTCTTAGATCTAGATCAGGAATAGAATTTGGGGGAAATCAGTTGAAAGGAATTTTAGAAAATAAAAGTGCTTATATTGTTTTTAAAATCTCACTGAATAAAGGGTGCACAGTGCTGGGCAGCATTTGGAATTCTGAAGACCATTATCGACAAGTCCTTTTTGCCGCCTTTCTTATAAGTTTGTAGCTATATACTTGGAGCAAGAAATTAAGAGACATTAAGTTTTTGTAGTTTATTTGCAGTGTAGATTATAACTAGACTTTTTTATAATACATTTTGTTGGAATTCAGTGAACATAATTAATACTTTGAAAGCCTTGATGTTATAGTGATTCAGAGTAAAGTCTAGAAAAATCAAATTGGGTTGGTTTCTCTGGGAGGCAGCCTCTGAGACTGAGATTTATGTTCAGAAAGCTTTTGGGGGAGTGTGCTGTAGAACAGCATCTACTTGGGGGTAAGGGAGGCAGGGTTGGGCAGAAGGAGAAGTCGAACTTATCTGTCAGGAGCTTGAGGTTGGGATGTCTGTTCAGCCAGTCCTGAGTTGAGGCAAAGGGGCTTGTCCTTAGCACCTCTCTCTACCTGCCATTGGATGCGATGTGAAAGGAGCGAAGCGGTTTCTTAGCAGCCCAGCTAGGAGCTGTCAGAAGCTTACACTCGCAGAAGCTGGAGGAGCCAATGCCTCCATTCTGAAGGGTGGGGGCATCTGGGCAATGCACCCCAGCTCCTGCAGTAAGTGCAGCACAAAGTGGAGAGTATGTCGGGAGAAGGAGAGGAGGAACGATCCATCCTACATAATTTCTCTTTTTTACTGTTACATTTAATCCTCCAGAATTCTTCTCCTGCTGTTGACTTCAGGACTGTGAACCAAGCACATTACACTAGTTTAATAAATGATGAAACCATAGCAGTTTGGAGACAAAAACTCTCAGAACACAGCAATGCAAATACAATCAAGTATGTGACTGCTTCTTTTCATTTTATTTTTTCCAAAGTGTACTGTAGTCTTCTAGCTTAGTGATTTTCCCTACTTCCATATTGAGGTTATGAATATGAATGGTGTTTCATATATTAAGGAATCATATCCTCAACCTGTCTTGCTCAGATCTTAAAAATCCTAATGAGGCCCTGAGTTGGCCTCTCTGCTAAGAAAGCTCAGTGTTTTTGTTTGACCCCAAGAGTTTTGTCATGTGATACTGCATCCCAAATCTAAGACAGCTTTTATCTTGCCTAATATGAATAATTTCTAGCATTTTCACATTCAAAATGATTAGTTGAGATGGTAATTCGCTGTCAAGTAGAGAAAAATAATATAGTAAAAAGGGTTGAAGGCTTTTATCAAGTTTATTTTATTCTTAAAGGAGAGGTTTTCTTTTTTTTAAGCACATTTTTATAGGCTTTCTTCAACATTTCTGTTTTTCTGTAGAGTCTCATTCTTGGGAATGAATAACTCACTGTGCACTAAGTGGTAGTCATTCCCAGAATTGTATATAACACACCTGGCTTTATGTGTCGATCTCAGTGGAGCCTGCAGTTTGGGGTACACTAGGGTGGTCACGAATGCCCTAGAGCAGCTCATGGCTGTCCTCAGAATTCCTCTGACTTTAGGTGTCTGTGCCGAGGAGTTCAGGCCAGAAGGTGTCAGGGGAAAGGGGACTAGACTCCCTGTTGGGGGGGTGGGGAGAGTGTACCCTCACTTTGCTGGTACCATGACACTTTGCTGATTTCTCAGTTTTATTATTTATAAATGAAAGGATGGAAGAAGTGATCTCCAAAGATCTTTCCTGACCCAGATTCTGTGATTAACAGAGGTTACTGCAGCACCTTCCTCAACCATGTATTTCATTCCGTCCCTTTTCCTTATACTGAATAAAACGCGTGACATGCAATTTCACTCTGCGTCCTCGAAAACTAGCTATTTTCTCAGAATCTGGGAAAATAGTTCATAGGAATAAACACTCATTTCTCTTATTTTCATTTTTTTTTTTACTCAAATGGGCAACAAAATAGAAGGAAATGATTTTCAGTTATTAATTTGCAAAGGTAATTTCTTTGGGAGATAATAGCTCAGCTTTTATGGTTTTAGTTTGTGTTCATGTTTGGAGGTGAGGGTGGGGAGTGTTTTGGATGGTTGATGGTAGAAGAATGTTCAAGATCCTTAGCAGTTGTGTTTTTCTTTCAGTAGATTTTATACTCTTTTTATTTTAACATGACTTATAGAAAACAAGTTCTTGTCCATTTTGAGATGTGACAAAATGTTTTTTAAAGCAAATGTACATTTTTCTGGTTAAGAAAGAGCTGCTATTAATGAAATCCTAGAATAGATGGCTAATCTATTGCCGATGCTTAAATAACCATTTATTTGTAATTATTAAAGGCTTCCTCCCTTTTTCTCTCTGAACAGTGGTGTTGTACAGATATTATCTTCCGCAGCCTGTTGGAATGGAAGTTTTCTTGAAAAAAAGTAAGTGACTTAGAGTCTTAAAAAATACTTGTATGTGATGAAAATACTTAACTCAGCAAAGGCCGTGAAAAACTTGTTCTTTTTGGTGGAGGTTGGCCTTGAGTCAGTGGATAAACTGATGATTTGTGCAGAAATCAGAATATCTAGTAATGATGAATGAGAGGACATCAGAAAGGGCAATGATCACCAGAGAGACAGAGGCTATATCTCAGAAAGAGTCGGTGTAATCCAAAGTAAGATTTTCCAGGGTATTCTAAAATATTATTACCCCCACCATGCTTATAGTATTTATCCTTAAATTTTTAATTCTTTAAATAATCTCCTTGGTTTCTTTGGTTTGCTTCTTCATAGGTTTTACTTTTCTCAAAAAGGGTGAGCTTAGAGGGAAGGTCCACAGAGACTTTAGGGCTTCTTTGACTTAGGTCCAGCCCAGCTTACCAGGAAATTACTTTTGGGTTGAACTCCCAGGTAGTAAGTAGAGTGTTTTTTGGCTTGGCCTTATCCCTTCTGCAAATATCCCTCTCGGGAACCTGATGTAGCAGAAGGGTCTTGTCATGGGTTTCGATCTTTGGTGCTTCTAAGTCCTGACCATCTCTTAGTTCTTTTCTGCCAGTGATTAGGCTAATGAAATCTTAAGAAGACTTACACTTCAGTTCTGTATGTGAATCTCACTCCTCCATCCCCACACAATTTTGAATTATGTCTATCTCTAACTGGGTTACAAGAGGTCACTTCAGAAACTCCCTTCAGCTACAGTTAGAGATCGCTAAGTCACTTATTTTTATCACTAGGGCAGCTGGAATGAGCCCGTCCAATTCATTTCAGAGTCAATACTTAGTTTTTCCTCTGCGTAAAGTTTTCTGGATTGTGCTGATGTTGGTCTTTTTAGAACAGCGGTTTTCAGCCAGGCTAGTTTTGCTTCACAGGGGACATTGGCAACGTCTAGTGACATTTTTTTGGTTGTTACAGTGAGGGAGGATGTACTATTGGCAAAGGCCAGGGATGCTGCTAAGCATCTCACAATCCCACCCACTCAACAAAGAATTATTCAGCCTCAAAAGTCAATAGTACCGAGGCTGAGCAACCTTGTTCTAGGAGGACAGCTTTTATGAAAATTGGGAATGGCTCTTGGCCAGGTTTGTTAGGTTATCCATCCTTAGTATCGTGGACTCTATCGAGCTGTGGGTAAAACTTTTTTTTTGAACTGACAGCTATGCTATTTCAAGAGTCCTGCTCCTCCAGCTTATGTAGAATGCATCATAGGAAACTAATTAAAATGAAGACTAGCATAAATATGTGTAAAAAATTTTTTCTTTTTGTATTTTCTTTTTCTTAACAGCATAGCAAAATTACATCTACGCATATGGAAGGTTGCATATGGGATACCAGAATTAAATTTTATGTTTTGAGCAGATTTATTTTTAGAACAACAAGGAAGACCCAACAAAGCCCAAGCATCTCCTCTTGATTTGACCATTTAGGTTCCAGTACATATAATTATGATTTCTAAAAAAGTTAGAAACTCTACTTACATTTTTACAAATTATAACATAGCTGTCAGAGGGTGTTAAGACTTTCTTAATGTGCTCATTACTCATAAACAGAAACCTGTTTTGTAATAGATGGTTCTTTTGTAGTTAATAGATATAGTTAGTGATATGCTCTAGTGGAAATTTAAAAGAGACATTCTCTGAGTCTCTAAAAGGCCTAAGACTATTTAAGGTTGGAAAAATGATTAGTTGCTAGGAAGTTAAAAACAGTAGCAGTGAAATTAGTCCTTGGGTGAATTTAATTGTATCCCTTGTGATAACTAAGAAAGACATTAACTTTGCATTTGTTGTAGATCTGATTAAAAAAAGAAATACTTTGTTAAGAAAGCTTTAAACAAAGAGGTTCCACTTGCCAGTTGTTGATGAGTGGGCCAGCTCGCACAGGGAATTAATTAATTAAGAGTAAATCAGGGAAATAACACTGCTTATAAACTTCAAAATGGCCTCAAATTAAAATGATCCTTGAATTTTGAGTCAAAGAAAAAAAAGACTTGAAATTTTTAAGAATATCTTGAAAAAGGGATTCTAGAGACATTTATTTCATCAGAATTCCCCAAAGTGTAGTATTTTTTTAATTTTATATATCTTTTTGCATATTGTCCACCAGGTCAAATTTAAATCTGATCGGTATAGACAAGCTGTTTTGTTTACCTGTTTATAATTCCTGTCAGGGTGTTTGCTTTATTTTTCTTTTATTATGCACCTTTTTGTTTTTGTTCATTTAGAATTGATGAACATTTTAAAACCAGTCCCAGAATCCCTGGGATTGACCTGAACTCAACTAGAGTGTTATTTGAGAAGTTAATGAACTCTCAGCATTCCATGATTCTGGAACAGGTATGTTCTTCACACTGACAAAGCGTATGTTTAAAAAGGCATCTTTTCATTGCTATAATTCAACTTTCAAGAGAAAAAAGATGAAAAGGCAAGTCTTGTATAAATCTTAACTTTGTAAAATATTCATTTTGGGAATTTGACCTACCTTTAGCGTTCTTTTTGATCTAAACCGTTCTAAAGAAATGCCCCTCCAGAGTGTGAGGTCTGCATGGCCAGGGGTCTTTGGCTTTTCTTTTCACTGATGTATCTGGAGGGCGTAGGCCAGCGCCTGGCTCATAGGAGGTCCTCAGTGTATCCCAAGTGAATGAGAGTTGAGAATCTGTCAAATAGTGTATAAATTAGAGATAAGGTAACTAGATCTCATATATGTTTGAATTGCTCAATACTCTTTTCTCTTATACAGATCTTAAACAGCTTTGAAAGTTGTCTGATTCCTCAGTTGTCAAGTTCACCACCAGATGTTGAAGCTATGAGAATCTATTTAATACTGCCTGAGTTTCCCCTGCTCCAGGATTCCAAGTATTATGTAACATTGACTATTCCCTTGGCTATGGCCATTCTGCGACTGGATACAAACCCTAGCAAAGTATTAGGTGAATTTGCTAAATTTAATACCAGTGTTTTTCTGCTTTTTATTTTATTGGTGTGACCGCTGGCTCTCAGTGTCTTGAGAACCAAGAATCTATTTTTTGCCATTTAATATCCTTAACATTTAAATATTTCTTTCTTTGCTGTCAATCTCTAACTAGCCATATTTGTAATTTGTACAAATTGAGCCATTATTTCAGTTATTTGAAATGATTCACGCCAGACTAATCTTGATTTTTAAATATTCACAAAGTTATATTATCCAACTTTAAACTATTTTTTTTCTCCTACACTTGTTAGTAAATAATGCCTGAAAAATTAATGTCCATCGGTTAGTTTTACTTCTATACCTAATTTAGGGGGTGGGAGTGAAATGAACAGTTTTGGTGGTACACAGGTCTCCAAAAAAGGAGAGGAAGACAATTACCTAGTGGAGACTTACCAGATGTTTGTTTTGTTTTTCTTTTTTAGGACAGTTGAGTCCACACTGATTTTTGCAGGCTACGGACACTTTGCTGAGATAAGAACCTTCCGTTCCTCAGTGAATTGGACAGTGTCTCTTATGGGAGTAGCGCCTGAGATGTTTTTATTAATCAAGTGCAGGAAGTCTGTCACCTGGCTTTTTCCTTTTTTCTTTTTCTCCTGGTAATTTTTTTTTAGGTGTTCACTGCAGCTCAGTAACTTCTGCATTCCCTGTGGACTAGGATGTTACTTGAGTGTGGTCTCCCCCTGACTAGAGAGACCTGTGTTCCTGAGGATGGAATACTGGCTTATATTGCTTCCACCTTTGCAGAAGATATAAAAACAGAAATAATAATGAAAGCCCTGGAAATATATTAGCCCTTAATTATTCATTTAAGATCAAAAACCCTTTGGGGCATATTTTCTCAGATGTTCTAATAGGTGGAGAGATGGCAATCTGTGAAGGAATATAGTACCTGGCTTTTACATTTTATTTTTATTTTTTTATTTTAATTTATTCAGGTAGGATGGCACAAAGAGATCAGAATTGTTTGGTTTTACACTTAATTTGTTTTCGACTTCTAATTATGGAAATTTAAACTTAAAAGAATACCTCAAAGTAGAGAAAACACTATACAGTTATCCATCACACAAATTCACGGTTATCAGTAGTTTGCCCTTTTTATTTTATCTCTTCCCCCACCACTACCTTTTTTTTTTTCTGTAATACTTTTTAAAAATCTCAAACATCATATTACTTAATCTTTTAAATATTTCAGTAAGGCTGAATTTATTTCTGACAAAGTAGAAGTCAGTGCTATAGTTTTCTTGTCAGGTTATGAGAAAGCATTGTTTAATGAGAAGCAGAAATAGTAGTTTTTCAACTAATTAGGCCTCTTGAAAGGAAGGAATGGTTGTCATATTGGAGCTGTTCTGGGGCGTGTGGTTGTTTACATCCCTGGTACAGGATTTAGGTGTGGTGGCTGAGAAGAGGGTTGGAAGGAGTAGGATATATGAATGCTCCTGCCCCAAATATGTGCCTTAGCATCTTGTCCACATGTACTCCCCAGAATTGAACTTTCAGGTTAGTCTTCCGAATGAGTCTTTAAGGAAAAAACCAGATCACGCTTTGCAAAAAAAGCTCCAGGGATTCTTGTACAGCTGCTGCTCTCTTCAGAAATGCTTTAATGGATTCTTTTAAAAATCAATTTTGGGGAACTATATTTTAGACTAATGTTTATTTTCTAGCTGGAGTGGTTTTTAGCTAATAGGCAGAAGACAAATACTTGATCAAGATTATGTGTTGAAATATGTCTTTTCTTTCTTTCTAAAGATAACTGGTGGTCTCAGGTATGCCCGAAATATTTTATGAAGCTGGTAAACCTCTATAAAGGTGCAGTAGTTTATCTACTGAGAGGAAGGAAGACATTCTTAATTCCTGTACTGTTTAACAATTATATTACAGCAGCTCTTAAGCTCTTGGAAAAGTTATATAAGGTGAGCATAGAACGGAGCCAGTGGGAAGAGGGGTGAATAGATGGGAGGGTCAGATGTCCTACTGAGCTGTTCTATGGGAAGTCGTATTTCTGTCGTCTGGGTCTTAGTTGTCCTTGTTCTTCATCAGGTAAATCTTAAAGTGAAACATGTGGAATATGATACCTTTTACATTCCTGAGATTTCCAGTCTCGTGGACATTCAGGAAGACTACCTCATGTGGTTCTTGCATCAAGCAGGCATGGTAAGAATTTATGTAAAGCATATCTTACAGCTTTGTCTTTTTTCATAGTAAAGTAAAGATGAGGAACGCACGGCTGAACCTTGTAATTTGACTGGTGTTAGTGTCATACCTATGTTTTATTCACTGGCTTTTGCATTCTTGAAACTTTGAAGTACTTTAAGTAATCAAAAATGGTCATAAGGAGTCATAAATGTATAGTTACCCAGAATGGTATAAATTTTAATTAATTGTCAACATTAAAAAAATCAAGGTATCTGAAGCAGTCAAACTCATAGAAACAAAGTAGAATGGTGGGTGCCAGGGTTTGGGGGCGGGGAAATAGGGAGTTGTTTAATGGATATAGAGTTTCAGTTTTGCAAGATGAAAAAATTCTGGAGATCTGTTGTACAGTAATGTAAATATAGTTAACACTACTGAACTGTATACTTAAAGATGATAAACTTTGTGTTATGTGTTTTTTTTTTAATCACAATTGAAAAAAGTCAAGACACATGAAGTGAATTTTTAGCTTTTCTTGAAACTTGGAAGATCTAGCAACATGACCTGTCTTTCTAGTTGGCTGGAGTTCAATAGTGGCTCTTTAGATTAGGCTAATGTATGCCACAATCCCCACTGCAGCTTGCTTTTGGCATTACTAATTATCATCTTCTAATGGTATCCTACTTCAGTCATCTTATGTCAGCTGCCTGAACCATGTAGGCCACCTCTGATTTAGGATTATGTTTGTGAAAATGTCATATCCCTGACCTAGTTCTCACTGTATATTAGACATGCCATCCAGGTAACTGGGTATGGATACCTGCCTGTTTCCCTTGACTTGGCAAGAACTGCTCCATTTGATTGCACTGGCTTGGGATATATGCAGGGCTTTTTAGGATTCCTCATCTGTGGAGTATGTGTAAATTTGAGTTATGTCAGAAAACAGAATGATAATTTGGTTATAATAGCTAGTGAAGCCATGCACAGCGGATACATTCGAGGCGAGTTCTTGCCAGTTAACAGATTTATCACCAACATTTAGGCAGTATTTTCCCTGTAGGGTTTTTGGAGGTGAGTAGTGCTCTCCAAAAGCAAGGCATTTAAATAGGTTTGTTTAACTAAGCAAGATTATTTACTTTGTCAAATAATAGATGAGCAATGCTAGATACAACATTGTATTCTTAATAAGATTTTATAATTACCTTGAAAGAACAAAATACTGTCCAATAAGAATGGATTAGAGTCTTATAAATAGGTTTACATGGGAAATTTAACATGCCCTGTTTTCACCCACTAATTTAGAAATTGTAAAAAGATTAACTTTTCTGTTTATCAATCTGTATCAAGTAATTATTCATTGAATAATAAAATGTTAAGAGCTGAAATAAGCCTTATGAATTATTTAGGCCAACTACTTTTTGAATAAGGGAATGGATACTCAGAGAGGTTAAACAATTTTTTTACTAATTTACTTAGCCATAAAAGCCAATTCTTCTGACTTCTAATCTGCCCTTTCTCCAACTTAATGTTGATTAAGATAATTCTAAAGAACCTTAATTCTTTTTGACACTGAAAAAGAAGTTGCTGGTGTTAAAATATAGATTATCATGACTGCAGTAATCTGTGAGTAGAGGTTCTTAAATGAGCAACTTTTACAATTTTTTTATAGTTCCTTTCTCTTAACATTTGCTAAGCAAGGTACAGGTCTTGAATACCAGATGCTCATCTCCTCTTCAGGAATTAAGGGAGTTATTATAGAAAAATTTGTGAAAAATTAAGTGAAATTACTATGTAAACTTCTGTGATTTCTATGGAAATTTTTTATTGTATAAAATACAGTACTATCAGAAATTGAAGTTTAAATTTCTCAATATCTTGGATTTTAACCTAAATTGCTAAAACCATGTTGTATATAAATTCGTGTTTTTTTTAACCACTCTTTTAAGGTATAATCAACATGTGACATTATATTATTTTCAGCTGTATGACAGAATGATTCAATATTTGTATACACTGGGAAGTGATCTTCATAATTCTAGTTATTGTCCGTCATCATACATAATTACAAATCTTTTTTCTTTCCTTGTGATGAGAACTTTTAAGATGTACTCGCTTAGCAACTTTAAAGTATGCAATTAGTATTCTTAACTGTATTCGCCATGCTATATACTAGCTGCTCAGAACTTATAACTGAAAGTTTTTACCCTTTAACTTCTATCTCGCCATCTCCCCAACCCTAGCCCCTAGAAACTACCATTCTTCATTCTTCTGTTTCTGTGCAATTGGCGCTTTTTTTTTTTGATTCCACATATAAGTAATACCATACAGTATTTCAGTATTTGTCTTTCTCTGGCTTATTTCACTTAGCATAATGCCCTTCAGGTTCACTCATGTTAATTCAAATGGCAGGGTTTCCGTGTGTGTGTGTGTGTGTGTGTGTGTGTGTGTGTGTAACACAAATGGATTTTTTGTATTAAATTTTTTTAGCTTGATAGTAACTGAGGCGCAGTATATTACATAGTGCAGAGTACGTGCTTTAGTCAAAAAGAGCTGAGTTCAAGTCTCACCTCTGGTCTACTTACTTACCTGTGTGACCTAGGCAAGTTACTTAATTTCTATAGGCCTAGTGTTCTCATTTGTAAATGAGAATTATAATAGTATTGTGAAAATTAAATGGGAGAAAGCATGGAAATCCTTACTTGGCATATAAGGCCTCAATAACTATTTGTCAGTAAGCAGTTCTTGGGCCCGTAATATATGTCGTGTGCCTACTAGCCACTGGGGATGGAGACAGGTTCAGGACATGGTGGCCGCCTCAGTAGAGTGTTCAGTGCAGAGGGGTCAGTGAAAATAGAATTACAAAGTAATATAATAAATGCATGCAAAGGACTGTGGAGTACAAAAGGAATGTTCTAAAGTGGCCAAGTTTTGCTCATTTTAAAGAAGAGTTGGTAGTGGCTTGTATATTTCAATTCATAAACTGCCATCATCTACTTGAAAATGAAATAACACACAGAATTAGTGACTTTATGGGCTCCCATAGAAGGCAGGATAAATGAAAAAGTCAGCAATACAATGTAAATGCTTCAAAAATAAAAACTAGAGTCAACTTGATATCTTGCCATATGTATCACATGGGTGCAGTGTTTTGGCTCCAGGTACCATATGGTGCATGGGTGAGAGGAGGCAGCTATTTTGCCTCATCATTCAGTGATGGCAAGGAGCTAGATTTGCCCATGGTGAGCATAGCAACACATGGTGGCAGGCAGGCCTTATAGCAGAGGCTTGTGTGTTTCTTTCTTGGCATGACAGGTGTTTGTGAAATGCCTCTTTTCCTCAATCACAGCCACATTTAGGAAATGTTGACTTGAAATTGGAAAAAAGGAAAAGATGTTCCAAATTCTCCAGTTCTGTACCACGTACTTATTCAGTGCTTCTATTTCATATACTTTAAAAAAGGAACTAAAGTCAAACAGTGTAACCCCATTTCAAGAAGGAACACTTGAAATGTTACCCACCAGTACTTTGCTAGCTTTAGGTTTGTGAGACTCATTTTTAGGGGATGGACAGCCCAGGACAAGCATCCTCTCAGGAAGGGATCAATATCTTACCAGTTCATATGCAGCCTTCTAGGTTGGGAAAGCAATTGTGAAGGAAAATCATAACATGGCTGTTTCAGTATTTATTTCGTGTAATAAGGAAATGTCAGTATTAATACCATTTTAAATATTCAGCATTCACAAAATAAAAATAGGCGAAATTAAATTATTATATTTCAAATACGAAAACTCACACTTATAAAAAATTTATATATGTATAATTCATATAGATCTGCTGCTGCTTTTGATTGAATAGCCTTCTTCACCTTCCTTAGAGCTGGCACTATGGTCCTTCCCTGGGGAGTGGGTCTTCTGGACCACCATCTCTGTGACCTTGGCTCTGGTTCCTTTCTGAGGTAGTTTTGGCTTTCTTTCCAGCCAACCCACTCAACCAAGGGCATGGTAACCCTGCCCTCAATTTAACTCCTCTCCTCCCAAAGAGAGGTCAGTCTACTTCCAAACTGGGCTCTTTCAACAGGATTTGGAGGGAGGGCTTCAGGTGAGGAGAGCTGGGAGGGAGTAGGAGCTGGAGAAGGTGAGTGTTAAAGGGGAGCAGGGAAGACTTGTGTGGCAAGGGATTCAGGGAGAAGGTGTCAGAGAGAGTCAAAGAACTGCAGTGGGACTGGGGAGAGCCAGGAAATACAGACAAAGCTGTTAATGCTTAGAACAAAATAATCTCTTCTGAGAGGAAGATTTGAAAATTCTAAATATTGGCACCAGTTTAAAGTCTACTTCCCTGGGATGCTCATGCCTTTTATAGGTACTTAGACTAGAAGACAACTTTGTACAGTGCTGTTTTATGGTGTGTGTGTTTTTTATTTTAGTGATTTCATTTCCTAAATTCAAAATAATTAGATATGTAGCATGAGAGAGAGTTAAATTAGCATGGATTATATATGCATGATTTCATACCTTGTCTCACTGGACAGGAATTGTCTCTTTGATTAGTGTTACTCAGTCTAGGAAAATGTTCCAAGACTTGTAAAAGAACCTGTTTCTAAAGGATAAACAGGGTGGATTTTAATTGCTTTTTAAATGATTTCATATGACTCTACACAATCATAAGAGGAGGTAGTATGCACTTCTTATTTATATACCATTTAAACAATTATCAAACTGAACTAAATTTATAAATTAAATACAAACAAAACTCTTAAATCAGTGAAATACAAATTAGCCTCTGTGATTTAATGTGATGAGCAATAATGTCTTACTGGAAACCAAACCTCCCTTGCACTGTGGATCCGTATTGGTTGCTGTCAGACCTTGGGGCTTGAGGTCCTCTGGCTTATGCTACCCACCCTGGGATGACTCAGCTCTCTTTCTTTCTAGCTGCTATTAACCTTCATTTACATAGAGGGTCAGGACTTTCTGGCCCTTTCCTGGGTGAAAATGCATCACTTATAAAGGAAGACTGCTTTTCTTATAAGTCTTGGACAATTAATTATGACGTGGCACCAATGCAATAATTAAAATAAATGCAAATTATGTGGTAACACACCATTATAAGCAGGTCATTCAGAATGTGTTTTTATTGATTTTCTTTAGGATATTTATTTAAAAACCATTAAACTAAAAAAAAAAATCATATAGCACTCTCAGATCTCTGAGACTAAATCCATGGTTTTCTGTTAGAGAAATATTACTACAGGTCAGCATGATCTTTATTGCTGACATTTTTGTTTCTATTGTTGATGAATAATGCTTGCGACATAACCTAAAACTTTCAGAAGAGATTTCTTTTTTCCCCCCTAATAAATGAAACTAATGTACCTCTTAGATGTGTTTGTGGTTGTTTTTATCTGATGTTATTCCTCTCCTCAAAAGTTTATTCAGATTTTATTCACATATTGATGGAGTGTCTTCTGTAGGCCAAACATTAGCCTAAGTGCTGAGTCAGGGACAGCTTTCTAAATAGTTGCTTTCTTTTAAGAGTAACAGCCTCAAGGGGCAGGTGTGTGTGCATGTGTATACTTGTGCGTGCGAGTGCACGCACGGAGGAAATGTATCATGCTGACAAATAAATGAAATTTGCATTATCTACTTGACTCAACAAAAGTAACCTCTGAAGCCAAGGTCTTAGAGTTCCTGTTTTAGAGTTAGATTTCTTCGGTAAAAGAGAATTCTATTAATGCTGTGAATTATGAAGTTAGTTAAATGGTCTATAAGGGTCCTTTAAAAATTTTTGAAGATTGTTTTTAGTTTCTTTCTCATTCTATGTCCATCAAAATATCTGGTCTATTTCATCAAAAATCCAGTCAGCTATTCAAATGGGGTTAGTTTCATGGCCAAATAGTCAGATAGGTTATATGTTTTGTTATTTGTATTTCATATTTGTAAAGGGTAAAAAATTCAGGTTTTGCAATCCAAATAAGACTTTTTATTTTTTCTACACAGAAGGCTAGACCATCTATAATACAGGTAAATGATCCTTTTTAAATTTATTTATATATTTTTCCAGCAGTATTTTCTGTGAAATACTACAATATTGCCAATCATGTTTTATTTAGGATTCTGTAACACTTTGTTCCTACCCTTTCATCTTTGATGCCCAAGCCAAGACCAAAATGTTGCAGACGGATGCTGAACTACAGATGCAGGTATCACAATTTAAAAATTACTTCCTCTTCTTATCGTTTCTTTCAACCTACACATTCAGTTGTAATTTTTACTCGTAAGAGAAAGTATATTTGGATGAATTTCATTCTAACTGTTAGAACAATTATAACTTTTTTCAGTAATTTTATGTCAAATATAATATACGTAAATGCCCATTTACATAGATTGGGGTTTGGCAAGAGTTTTCATAAAAGGCCACATAGTAAATATTTTAATCTTTGTGGGCCATACAGTCCACCTCAACTATTCAACTTTGTCGTAGCACAAAAAAGCAGTGATAGACAATATGTGAATGAATGAGCATGGCAATATTTCAATAAAACTTTATGTACACTGAAATTTGAATTTTGATATTTTCACATGTGAAATTCTCTTTCAATTATTTTTCAAACATTAAAAAATGTAGAAACCATTGCAAGCTCAAGAGCTGTACAGAAACAGGCAACAGGGTAGATCTGGTCCAGTTGTCTGCTGTCCTCTGATAGAGATAGATAATTAAATGGATTTTGGTAATTCCTTATTGAATAAAAACTTGTTAAAAGATTTATTTTAAATACACATTTTTATTATAAAATAAAATAGATTTTGACAAGCCTGCAAAGACATTTGCAGATTACCAGTCCAAATCTACCAATCCTACTGTTGGTAGATATATAACTTCATTCATCTCTTTGTATATCTATACATATATATATCTGTTTTCACAGTGATATATTTATGATATTGACAATTTAAAGGTTTTCCAGAGAAAACTGACATTTTTCAAAGAATGAAAACCATTTAACAAGTGATTATTAGGTTTCTTTTCCTGTCATTTTTAAAGTCATGGTTTTCACCCATTCCTTATCATGTTTCTTCTATTATGATATTTCAGTCTTAATCAGCTTAAATCATTTGCTTGAAACTGGTTATGGATCACATGGTTCATGAACTTTCAATTAATCTCTTTGGATTCAGATTAGAAAGATTTTTATGTTTTGTAAACATGAGTTACTTAGAAAATCTAACTGGAAAAGTTAAGAGGAAAATAAAAAAGAACAAATAGAGATGCAGTCAGACTGCTCTTCACCCACGCCAAGTGGAAGGGCACAGCTGGCTGCTGTCCCCACACGCAGGTGCACTCTGACTAACTGTGTTCTTGATGTCCATTCCAGGTGGCGGTCAACGGAGCCAATCTGCAGAATGTCTTCATGCTTCTCACCTTGGAGCCTCTGCTGGCCAGAAGCCCCTTCCTGGTCCTTCACGTTCGCAGGAACAACCTTGTTGGTGATGCTCTAAGAGAGCTGAGCATTCATTCTGATATCGATCTGAAAAAGCCTCTCAAAGTGAGCTTTTCAGTAGATTCTTCTAAATACCTTCCTAGGTTTTCTTTAAACTGTGTTGACGAAGAAGCAAAGATCATACCATTAAAATTGTGGAGTACATCCATTCATTATTTCTTTCATTCATTTTACAAGAATTTAATCACCTCCTTCTGTCAAATCACCAAACAGAACATCTCAGTGTAACATCAGATAAAAATTCCAGTGGATTACTCAAGGGGTTACAGGGCTTTCTTTGTCTGCTGTCTTCAGTGTAGCTATTCCAGCTCTACCTCAAAGAAGTAAACAACAGCAAAACTAAAGCTTCAGCTAGTAAAACTGTCAAGCGAGCATCTAGGAAGTCTTTGGATGGCAAAGATTTCAGACAAGAAGGTAAAAAAGGAGAACAGAAAGGTAGTGAAATCATCTTGAAAGCTGCTGGCCTATTGTGACAGGCACTCTTAGTACCTTGAAATTATTAAGACGTTATGTTTCCTCATAGACTGCATGTTTGTGTTACTACTTATTGTATTCCTGGAGCTTAGCATAGTGCTTGATATACAGTAGGTGTTAATAATAGTGAATTATTTGCAGTTGTTTTAAGTCATTTATCTTTCCTTTCAGAAGACTTCCGTATCTCTGTTTTCAATCCTGTTGTAAACTCATTTCCAAAACATAATTGGCAAGAAACTGATGGTCTCCATGATATTGTCAACCTTTCCAAAATGTCCAATAAGTACCATCTGTCCCATAAATCTGCCTAGAAATTCTCCCAGAAGTTCTGGGTTATATTTTTGATATTGCAAACAGAGGGGCCTCTCTTTGCCCCATTTTCAATCAGTAATGCAAATGAGACAGTTCTTGCCTTGTAGCAGGTCCGAGTTAAGTCTTCTGCTGGCATCCATATAATGGAAATCCTAGTGTCCCCACCTTTACTCTCTTTTTGCTCTAGGCAACCTTGAACTCGGTTACAAGGATAAGCTTTCTCAAATGCTGTTTTTACCTCTGTGCCTGAGCTCTTACCTATAAAATGGGGATGATAATAATAATCCCTATGCATGAGGCTGCTCTGAGAATTAGATTGATAGAGTTTAAGTGCTGGCCTGTAGCAAACTCTCAGTAAACTCATGTTAGTTTGCTGTAGTTGTTACTGTGATGACCATCATGGATCCAGCATTCCCCATTATGGGTCTGTTTATAGGCCTGCTTGTAGCCCCTCACAGAGTTCAGGTCTTGTACCTACTTAGAATGTCCTCCTCCTTTCCATATTCATCAATTTCTTCAAGAGCCCCTTTCTTTACCCAGGTTAATCATTGCCTTTCTCTATGTGCCAGAAGAGTTACTTCTCTATGTATTTGACTCTTTGAAAATAACATGTGTTCTCTAATGGATTCTTTTGTGTTCACCTTACTGCCCTGAATAGACGAAAAAATTTCAGTGGACATATGGCAAACTTCTCACTTTCTTTATATCCCTTGAAGTATCTAGTAAAAATTTTGTGTTTCTAAGTGCCTTGTTAATAATTAACAGATACACCTTACAGTTTTCACTGCATCAGTCTATCCTCTGTTATATCTCCCTTCCTTTGTCCTTGCTTTGGAAAGAATTCACTGAAAAAAGATAAAATACCAAAGATTTCTTTGAAGTATTAAATCTGCTTTCATTATTTCAAGGTAATCTTTGATGGTGAAGAAGCAGTGGATGCTGGTGGTGTCACAAAGGAGTTCTTTCTTTTACTGTTAAAAGAACTTTTGAATCCCATCTATGGAATGTTTACCTACTATCAGGATTCAAATCTCTTGTGGTTTTCAGATACGGTGAGTTAGTAATGTGCAAGTTAGATGGATAGAATTAAACTTTTTTTGTTCTGAGGCCAATTCCCAGACTTCTGACTTTGAAAAAGAAAGCATAAGAAAGGAAATAATTTAAAATGTCCAAATAATGTATCTAGTCTTCGTTTTTCACCTGTTGCTCGTTTTTCATAGTGCATTTTGTCTCTTTTCAGCCCCATTTTCATTTCTAGTAGGTAAAATCCAAATTTTATTAGCCTTTAAGGGTGAAAAGAGCACAGTATGATAAAGAAATTGGTTTTATGACATGTGGAAAGTAGTAGTCAAATGTCTTATTTTAATAACAATGATAGTATGTGTATGATTACTTATACAAATAAACACACTTTATTTTTGAAAATTCAATAGGAGAGCTAAGTTTTAAAGAGGCATTCTAATTTCAACGAGACTATAATTTACTACTTTTTCTACCAGAGTTTTCTCCCTACATCTGCACTGTCCAAAAAGATAGCCATTAGTCACATGTGGCCATTGAAATTTAAATTTTAATTAGAATTAATACTGAAGATTCATTTTCTTAGTTGTAGGCTACATTTCAAGTGGCTGCCACATGGGGGAGCACAGAATAGAATATTCCCATCACTGAAGAATGTACTATCGGACAGCATTGCCCACATGATGACAGTCATGCACCACATAATGATGCTTCTGTCAGCAGTGGACTGCATATACAATGGTGGCCCCATAAGATTGGCCTTATGAGATTATAATAGTGCTGAAAATTTCCTATCATCTAGTGACACTGTAGCTGTTGTAATATTGTAGCCCAACACATACTCACGTTGGTGAGTGATGCTGGTGCGAACACACCTACTGCACTGCTGATCATATAAAAGTATAGCAATATAATTATGTACACTGCATAATACTTGATGATGACAATAAACAACCATGTTACTGGTTTATGTATTTACTGTACTTTTTAGCGTTATTTTAGAGTATTGTTTCTACTTTAAAAAAATGTTTGCTGTAAAACAGTATGCCGTCTTACTATAGTAGTGGCCTCACACATCTCGTGTTTACCGTGTCTATTGCATTTTTCTCTTAATGCTTAATTTAAACTCATGTCGTTTTGTATAGTAACATGCTCTACAGATTTGTAGCCTAGGATCACTAGGCTATATCATACAGCCTAGGTGTGTAGGAGGCTATCCCATCTAGGTTTCTGTAAGTGCACTCCATGATGATCTCACAAGGACAGAATCACCTGAAGCATTTCTCAGAAGGCATCCCTGTCATTAAGTGGTGAATGACTGTATAAACTGTTTCTGTATCACTAGATGAGCTATAAATGCTTAACTTTGTCTATATTATATCTTTTGGGGACAATCAGATTTTTGTCAGGGATGTGCTTCTCTGAGAACGTAACTAAATATTAATAAGATCTTTATTTTTTTGTGCTTAAAATATTTTAGAGTAAAAGGCAGATTGTTTCGAGGGCCACAAACACTGCATTTCTTTTTAACATATTTGCATACATTCTGAAAAGTGTTTTGTAGAGCACAACTGGTTTCACTTGATTGGCATAACCTGTGGACTAGCTATCTACAACTCCACTGTAGTCGATCTCCACTTTCCGTTGGCTCTCTATAAGAAGTTACTGAATGTAAAGCCTGGCTTGGACGACTTAAAGGAGCTGTCACCCACTGAAGGAAGGTACAAAGCTAAAAGATAGATTGGTATGGGGAACTGCTCTGGCTGCCCCTGGCACAGGGATTAAAGGTTGCAAACACCACATGTGTACATTCGAGTTTATTGAACCATATGGTTAGACTCTATCATGTATGCTGTTTTAAGGCGTAGCTCCAGAGCTACTCGCTTAGAGTCCGTCACTCTAAGGGCAGAAGGAAAAAAAAGAAAAGGGAAGTCATAGCTGCCCAGGAATACAAATTAATCTCTGTTTTCCTTATTCTGAACAAAAAATAAGGACTTCAAGATCTGTCATGGTCCAGAAATGCAGGGCGAGAAAATATTGAAAAGGGGGCCTGTATTTTTAAAAAGTACATTTTTTCCCCTCTTTCTGTGCTTCTCTTTTCTGTGCGTCTCCTTTACTCTCACATTGTTATCACACAACACTTCTGGTCACCACCAGAAGTGCGGGTTTTTCATCCACACCACCAAGCAATTCTTCATGACACCGGGTGGGTATCCTATAGTTTAACTCAATTCTGACGCTGTCTACCTGGAGATAGTGTCAGATCCCATAGTTTAAGGGCTTGACCCCACAAGACTGTTATCACCTCTCTTCAGATTCCAGTCACAAGTACTAGGTCCCCAGATTATCTACAACTTCTCTTCGATTTGGCTACAAATCAGAGGGTCCCACAATCCCCTCCTCAGATTTGATTAATTTGCTAGAGCAACTCAACAGAACTCAGGGAAACATGTTTACCAGTTTATTAAAAGATATGATAAAGTATACAGATGAAGAGCCAGATGAATAGGGCGAGGTCTGGAAGGGTCCTGAATGCAGGAGCTTCTGTCCCTGTGCATTTGGGGTGCATCACCTTCTCAGTGTGTGGATATGTTCACCAACCCAGAAGCTTTCTGAACTCCCTACTATTGGGGTTTTATGGAGGTTTCCTCACATAGGTGTGATCAATTATTACCTCCATTTCTAGCCCCTCTTTCCTCTCTAGAAAGTGGGGGGTGGGACTGAAAATTCCAAGCTCCTAATCACAGCTTGGTCTTATGACCAGCCCACATCCAGGATGCTCCTAGTGTTCTTACCACTTTGGAATATACAAGGATTTTAGGAGCTGTGTGCCAGGAACTAGGAGCAGAGAACAGTGTATCTATTTTTCTGTCATCTCCCAGAGCCTTAAAAATATTAGTTTGAGTTATATAGTTCAAATACAATTCACCCACTTAGAGTATATAATTCAGTGACATTTAGTTTATTTACAGAGTTGTGCAGCCATCACCACAATTTTGAAACATTTTTATCACCTGAAAAAGAAACCTGGTGGTCCTTAGTCGTTCCCCGCAATCTCCTTATCCCACAAGCCCTAGGCAACTGCGAATCTACTTTCTGTCTCTACAGGCTTTCCTATTCTGGTTATTTCGTATAAATGGAATTATACAATATATGGTCCTTTGTGTCTGGCTTCTTTCACACAGTATGTTTTCAAGGTTCATCCATGTTGTAACTCATATTAGTATTTTATTTCTTTTTATAGCCAAATATTCTTTTGTATGGATGGATATACTACATTATGTTTATCCATTCATTAGTTGATAGACATTTGGCTTGTTTCTACTTTTTGGCTATTATGGATAATGCTGTATGGACATTCTTGTGTAAGTTTTTGTGTATACATAAGTTTTCATTCCTGTTGGTTACAAACCTATGAGTGGAATTACTGGATCGTGTAGTAGCTCTATGTTTAGCCTTTTGAGGAACTGCCAGACAGTTTTTCAAAGTAGTGGAGCCATGTTTTTATGTCATTTTCTTTCTGGCTATTAAAAATCCTTTATTCCAATTTTCTCTGTATTGATTTTAGGTAGCATAAGATCAAGTATATAAAAAGACACCATATCCTTGGCTTTCTGTAAACAGTGTAATCCTTTTGGCTTTATCAGGAAAGAACTTTTCTTTTTTCTTTTTTTTTTTTTTTACAGAGTACAGCTTTTAGGATGGAGATAGAGAAGAGTAGTCTCTAAGGTACCCTCTGGAAATGAGATTGTCACACCACTAGTATAGGACACCATTACTAAGAACCCCCAAAAGATGGGAGGGATGAGGCCACAGAAAGAGGAAGAGAAAATTTAGAAGGAATGTAAAAAAATGGCAGAGGAGACCCAGGCAGGGTTAATTTTTTGGTTAACTGAAAGAGAAAGCTAGAGAGTAACAGAACTGTGCTCTATTTACTAGCCTGTCTGAGAACCATATATTTCAAGTAATGATTTTGGCCGTTTTACTGGTCATGAATTTAAATTTCACACCAAGAATTTTCTTTCTGGACAACTTTTGGTGAAAATGCCAGACTCAGAGCTTAGCAAAGAAGAGAGTACGCAGGAGGTCTAGCTACAACAATGTATTCTCTCGAGAGCTAAAATATGACTGTTATTGGAATAAACATACTCTTTTTAAACATGTTTCAATGTGCTTTAGTTTGACAGATAATAGTGTGTCTTTGCCATATAGAGAGCTTCTTGAACTAACAAGTAAGCCATTAAGATTCTTAAGCGGATGAGGAGATTCTGTAACTTCTTTTTTAATGATGGAAAGATCATTCTTCTAGTGCATATGGATGAAGCCAGTCTGTAGGATCTCTGTGGTACCATCTCCTCATATATAATTCCAAGCAGTAACAAGGTTAAAAGAATACAAGCGAGTCAGATGTAAATCCATCTGAACGTCTTCATAAATCCAGTAATATTTGTCAGTAGGAAAAGAGACTAATTAATGAGTGTCTTACAGGTCTACTCTCAAAAATCTTTTCAAGATATAGCTAACATAATTTTCTGTCACTCTGGATTTATGTTCATCTTCTTTCATAGTTTTCCCTTGCAGACAATCTGGACATGTGTCTGAGATAGAAACACCATTGCCATATCTGATTTGCCTCTTTTCCTTTCTCCATTGTTCTGTGATTAGGAGTCTTCAAGAACTTTTAGATTACCCTGGGGAAGATATTGAGGAGACTTTCTGCCTCAACTTTACGGTATGGATCTCCACAGTTTACTCATGATTGCAGCTGTCTCTTTTCTTATGCCTATGTCAGAATTCACGTTATTTTTTCTCCAAATCAAAGAATAAATTCAGGGACTTCTCTGAACCAAATTATTTTAGTCATAGTGTCTTAATTCAGTAAGTGTGTTGAGTATATGAATGAATGATTAATCTATGCACTGAGAAAATTACTGAAGTATTAATTCTCTTTACTGCTGATACACATATTCCTTTTCTGGTATTCTTATGATTTTCTCTTTGACTGCATTTAGTGGCAGCTCCAAGTCTTCAAAGAGCTCTTTTAAGGTGCCAGTGTTTTTTGACTAGATTCTCTTTCTTCTCCCAAAAGTTTTATATGGTAATAAGTAGTTATTAAGCAACATTTGTTTTTAAAACTTCTCTGTTATTTGGGTTCTGAAAAGTTAAGTGGTAAACAAAATTGAAACATTTCTTTTTTCCCCCTTAACTATAGATTTGTCGAGAAAGCTATGGAGTGATTGAACAGAAGAAGCTGATACCTGGGGGAGACAAAGTGACTGTGTGCAAGGACAACAGGTTAGTCCTGACCGTGGACTGTTGCAGATGTTGCTACCTTATTTCTCTGTACTTTTAAGACCACAACTGAAGTTAAATTTTAGTCCTTTCTGCAGAGGAATTAAGGGAAATAGAGTAAGAATTTGCAGATTTTAATGAATTTTTAATAGTAGAGGAAGCATTGAACTTGAATTCAGAAGATAACTGTTTTAATTCTAGATCTCCATCTTACTGGCTTTGACCCTGAGCAAATCATATAAACTTTCTCATCTGTGAAATGGGGGTTGTAATAACTGCCCTACCTACCTCCTGGGATGGTTGTAAGATTAAAGTGAGATCATTTGTAGGAAAACATTTTAGAGTGAATGAGCTCCCAGCATCTAGCACATGGTTTCCGATATCCAGCAGAGTGCCTGGCACAAAAATACTCCAAAAGTATGTGTTGAATAAATGAATGTTAAAAAGATGCTTACTATTGCTGTTGTTTTACTGCTGAAGAATTTGCAATATAGATTTTAATTAAATTATTCTTCTGCCTCATGAAAAGTAATTTAAGTACATCTGATTTTTCAGGATGATTTACCATGTCTGTGTTATCTCTTTTAGAGGGAAAAAAAAATTAGTTTTGTTTACTTTTGTATTAAAAGTGAGGTGGCTGGCAATCTGCATATTAATTCAGCTTACAAACACTGAATGCTATGTGCCAGGCATGTTATTGGATATAGGAAATAAGTAACTTTTATCTTTAAGAATTCAAGATTAATTTGGAAAGGTCAATGTAAGTGAATGACTGCATTAGATTATAATACATGTGATAGAGTAATTGGCCAAGTGTCATGGAACCAGGGGGAGAAGCTACAACGTTTTCACTGGATATTGAAGAATGTACATGTGGAAAACACAACCAACAGGTAGCTGACTCCGTACTCCCACTACCTTCATTCTGGTTCTCGCCACACTTTACTTGAGCTACCTCAACAGCCTCCTCATGGGACCCCTACACGTGGTCTATTTCCATATGGCCACCGGTTATCTTTCCAAAATTGGTCAACCACATCTCAGTCCAGATCCCATTTAAGGTCTTGACAACCTGATGCTATTGCACCCACCCTCCATCCACACACTAGACTCTACCCTATCAACACATGATATTCACATGATAAAGGACAATGAGTACTTACAGGTAGCTCAGGTAAAGTGTGGCGAGAACCAGAATGAAGGTAGCGGGCGTATGGAGTCATCTACCTGTTTGTTGTGTATTCACCAGGAGCTTGTGTCTGATTATATATGGATGGCACTAGAGAGGCATGTAATGACAACAATTCTGAGGTTTCTGATTTGTACAACTGACTAACAGGGTGCAGATTCTGTAGAGCAGGGTGGAAGGGAAA